ACCTAATCTACGAGAAGATATTAATAGCAAAGTGATTAGAGAAAATTATCAATAAATTTATCTTCCACATGGTGTAGATGATCTGAAGAATATATCGTTTATTTTATTGTTGCATTCAATTATAAAATATAATGGCATAAGGAAAATCCAACGTACGGAAATTTTTTAAAATATGTAGTGATGATGAAAAAAAAGCAGAATGTTCATTTTGCGAATCGTCGCAAAAAAAAATTATGAGAGGAAAAACACCTAAATTATTCTCTACAAAACCTTTATGGAATCACTTAAAAAGTAAACATCCACTGGCAATAGAAAACATAAATAGAAATACAAATATCGAAGCTGATCCACCAGTTTTAAACTTAAACTCTTCATCATCAATCTCACACTCAAAATCTCATCAGCCTACTTTACAATCTTTAAATTAAGAAAAAAGAAATATGGTCTTTGGATGATCCAAAAGCAATGAACATAACCAAAAAGATCTGTGAGTATTTTTTTATTTTATAGTTATATTTAAGAGAAACGCTATATATTTTATAATATTATTATAAATAAATATTAAATAATTAAATATTTATGCTAATGCTAAAATTCGTAAGTAACATCAATATCAAGCTATGTCTAATATTGTTTCTAATAAACAAACGTTCGTATTATAATAATAAATTAGTTTTATACAGTTTAAAATTCTCAACTATTTATTTTTGTTATATTTTAGGCGAAACGATGGCTCTTGATGCTGAACCATTCGCACTAGTTGAGCGAAAAGGCTTTCAAAAGTTAATAAAATATTTGGCACCGCAGTATCCACTACCTTGTAGAACATATTTTTCTGAAAAAATTATGCCACGTCTGTATGAAAATTTGAAAACATGTATTAAAGAAAAATTAATTACTGCGATAAACATATCGTTCTCCACCGATATTTGGACTAGTCCAGTAAACAACGAGTCATTTATAAGCCTGACAGCTCATTTCATACGAAGTGATGATATGCACAGAGAAATACTTGTACTCAGCGCGAAACACTTTCCTGATAGTCATACTGGTTTCAATATCGGTCAGATATTAAATGATGTGATGGAAGAATGGCATATAAGTTCTAGTCAAATTCATCTAATTTTAAGGGATAATGCTTGTAACATGATTATAGGAACTGGTATGCACTTTTAAACAATTTTACAAATACATTCGTTTTGCAAAAATGTAACCATGACATACCATTGATTAATTGATTTAAAATTATCGATATTGTGTATTTTATCTTACAGATATGTTAGGAGAGAGTGTAGGATGTTTTATTCACACTTTACTAACTCGTGATTCACGATTGTATTTTTAAAAATCGAAATTTCGTTGAAATTTTGGGAAAATGTCGAAAAATTGTTGGACATTTTAGCCATTCTTCACTTGCCTCCTCGAAACTCAAAAACATACAAGAAAATTTGAAATTGCCAATTCATAAGTTAATTCAAGATGTTACTACACGATGGAACTCTACATTTTATATGTTGGCAAGGCTTCATGAACAACGACAAGCGGTAACTGCATATGCTGCAGAGAAAGACATACCAAGCCTTACGGCTATGCAATGGAATATGGTAGAAAACGTTATACGTGTTCTCCAACCGTTTGAAGAAATGACTAAAATAGCCAGTTCAGATTGTGAGACAATTGGATACGTTATTCCGGCAATTGTTACTCTACACTCGTATCTTTCAAAACGACAAAAGGATACTGGAATAGTGATGTTGAAAGAAGAGCTCAAAAAAGCGATGGAAGAACGATTTCTTAATCCTATAGGTATTGCTATAATGTTTATTACTTTAATAAATTTTCATTATTATTTTTTCTTCGAAATAAATAATTATATTTTCCATTGTTATGTAGGACTCAATGTCAAGGATCAAAAATGTTTTGTACTCGCTACCGTATTAGATCCAAGGTTCAAAACAAAATTTTGTCCAGACGAAAATAAGGCCAAACAGTGGATTATTGAAGAATTATTGGAAGTGAATAAAAGAGTCACTAATGATACCGAAAACAATACGCAGAGTCATAACGTCAGCTCTCTTCAAGAACGAGATGTCATAAGCGAAACACACGAGGACATTTGGAAGTGTTTCGACGATATAGTAAATAATTCAAAATCTGATACTGATAATAGCAATCTTGATGATTCATTAAGCAAAACATCGTTTGAGAGACAACCAAGTGACAGAAGTAAAAAGAAAACTGCTGTCTACAATGCTGAGTTAGCAAAATACCTCGTGTTACCATTGTTATCTAGAAATGAGGATCCTTTAATATGGTGGAAAACACATGCTTTGGAATATCCTAATCTCAAAACTTTGGTTATAAAATACTTGAGTGCTCCTCCTTCTTCTGTCAATTCAGAAAGACTTTTTAGTGCAGGAAAGTTAGTTTATTCTGATAATCGAAATAGATTGTCACCGCAGAATGCTGAAATGTTATTGTTCATCATGAAAAATTTAACTAATATTAAACTACAATTTTTGAATCATCATCATGTGTCTGTCTTTGTTCTTCTTTTAAATTAAACAATACGAATACCTAAAAGTCAATAACCTTAGCTGTCAAACTATCAAACTGTCATACTGAATATTAATCGAGATAACCAATCAACGTCGCGGAAAAGAGGCAACAATACTTCGAGACTTTCGAGATTTTTGATATATTCGAGTATCAACCTCCATGCCCTTTTTTAATAAGGATTATTATCACTTATGAAGCATATTCTTCAGGAATTAGTACCGGATATTCGGCAAATATCCGGTATTCGGCCGGATAATTAGGCTGCCGGATATCCGGTATCCGGTTTTACATCATTGTCGGATATCCGATATCCGATATCCGGCAATTTCACTATCCGGCACATCACTAGTATTTATGTAACTTGTAGAATTATTTACGACTAAATTTGTGATTTTTTTGGTTTTGGAACAAATACATGTCGAATTCTTCAATGTACTACAAGTATAAAACTAATCCCGTCATCACATTACTCAAAATGACTCAGATATCGATCATGTAACTTCCCTATTGAAAGGATCCCATAAAATCCCATAAAATCTAATTAAAAATATATGAGATTTTATAAGAAAATATAAGTCAGATAAGAACTTAAAAACGGCACATAAAAACTATTTATTAGATTATATGAGACAAAATACTTTTTAATGAGTTATAAGTTTGTATAGGACTTTTCTATGAAAAAGGTAATGTATATATGACAGTTTTAATAAGTAATTTTGAATATATTCATTTATATATATTTTAAAGGTAATTTCTATATTGCACTATATTCGATCGTACAAGTTATTTCTATAATTTTGT